TTAACTTCTTACTAAACCACAGTACCTTTTAACATTTTACATAAAAAAAAACTTGTTTACCCTCCCTGTTGCAGCAAACCTAAGTACTCATTAAACTAATTCTGTTTAAATAGGGAATAAATGTGCTATTTTTAAGGAGACATTTTAGTTTAAATCCAATCAGGCAAATGGAAATTCGCTAAGTCTGCAGGTTTGCTGCGGCGGGGGTATGGTTATTATATAGAGCATGGAGGTAACTAATTTTTTTCACTTTATGAATAAATGTTTAAATATCGTAAAAAGTAATAATATTTCGAAACACCCTGTATGGAGTGGTATTTGTTTTATACTCGGCTGTTAAGATTTTACTATAAACACACTTTATTAGCCTCCTTGTAGCAGCAAACCTAAGTATTCATTAAACTATTAGACCCTTTTTTCATTAAACTATTAGATTTAATTGAAAATAGGACAAATTAAAATTAGCTTAGTCTGCAGGTTTGCTGTGACGGGGTATTTAATATTTTCTCTTACTCCTTGAGATCCTTCTCTCTTATATAGTAAAGAATTACAGTTATTTTCAATAATCCCTTTTTTTAAAGAGCATGCATGGAAGTAACTAATTTTATCACTTTATGAATAAATGTTTAAATATTGTAAAAAGTAATAATATTTCTAAACACCTTGTACGGAGTGGTTTAATACACATAAAACTAGTCCCAATCGATTTAAAATAACTAAAACCATCGAAAACCACACCTCACACGACCTTAAACGTAAAAACAAAATTATTCAGGATTAAGGGCCCTTCGGAACAAAAAGGGCCCCAAAAAGGGCCTTAGCACGCCCAAAATTTTGGGGACTCATCGGATCTTCATTTCTCATATTATTAGTAACTCACAGGTGAAATTTCATGAATGTACAAATTTTGTTGTTTATAAAACCCTATTTTACCTGTACTAATATGACAAGTAAAACACACGACGTTTGGATTGTTATGCTCAGTTAAAATAGATTTAAAGCTGGTCGAATACGAATAGAAGTTAGCATACAATCATACTCTCTCCTAACTCCTATCCTTATGGATCAGCTGAAGACAATTTTAATAAAATCATATGACAAGTAAAACACACTACACTTGGATTGATATGCTCAATTAAAATAGATTTAAAGCTGGTTGAATACGAAGAAATAAATAGCCTAGTTATACAATCATACTCTCTCCTAACTCCTATCCTGGATCATCTGAAGACAATTTTAATGTTAGTTATGTACGGTTTATGTTTGTTGTCCACCATTTGTTTCTAATTTTTGACCCACTTTAAAACTACCCTAACAATAACCATCTATTTGTAAAATATTGCTTCTAGAGATAGACACATACTCAAACGTCTCCATAAAATACAAATCATATCAGGCGTCAATTTATACCACAGCATAAGAAGCGATCTTGCACTTAAGTGCACTTAAGTCAATTGTGTTATCAAGTAGTAATCTCGAATCGTATTTAGGATAATAGCAGGTCAAACCTTTGTCTATTAATAAACCCACATTTTGTTACTATTGTAGGCCTAGGGATCGAAACACACAGCTTTGATAAATATAAAAATTTTACGTCATTATGTGAACAGCACAAAAACAACATGAGGCAACGTCATCGTATTCGATCATGTGTAAGAAAAAACAGAATATTCTTTGCGTTATTTCCTGGAAATTGCAAACTTTTCACTTCTAAAATAGGTGGCACCATAAATCGCCATGATTTTAAATTAAGCTACAAATAACTTTTCTAGAGCAAGATACAAATCTTCAATCAAATTATATAAGAATTTGATCCATAAAATTATCATATCTAAATAGAATCTGTTGGCTAAAGAAATTGATGGGGGTTATACGTTATGCTTATCGTTATATCTTTATTATGAATAATCTACATAACAATTTTTGTAAACACGGCAAATATTGGATTGCTAGAAAAGTATATCCATAGATTACATAATAAACATAATTGTATACAGTATTAGTTCATCAGCTATGGTATGACCTAAACAAAAATTGTACGGAAATTTCACAACTGACATCACTAAATGACTCTTAGAGTAATACCATTCACTTACGATTTTGAAGAAGTTGACATATCTATATAGGCTATCTGTAGCCACAGTCTATGTTGTAGCCTATTTTTATTAAAAAAGAAAAATAACAAGTTTATTTTTCAAGAAGCCATTGACAGAGTGTTCTTCAGTCTATTATAAATCATTTATATAAAATTATTATCTCCCTTAGTATTAGTATCCAGTAAATGTGACATGAAAGGTGCTATAGTGGGAAAATAAGTAGTCCAGTCAGTTTGACTTGGTTAAACAGTATCTAAATCGGCAAACTCTGTCGGCGGCTCAACTACGCCAATTTTGCTACGAACACTGACAAAAACTTTACCATGGGGATGGAATGTCCCTTGTCTATTTATATCAATAGTCAAAGGTAACACAAACAAAATTGAACTAGTAAATTGCCTTATTTCATTGAATTAGCAGCAGGGTAGCCGAGTGTTGATACTGTCCCTCTGCCAATCCAAAGCATATTTTCGCTTCTATCCTGAGAAAAGTCAGTAGGCTTTTGATGGTTCGAAACTAGAGTTAACCGGCCATGATCATTAGGCTTTTATTAAATGCACCTGGAAATAAGCCGCTGGACAAACCCGCATTCTCTAAAACTCTATTTGTTCCATTATTTCTTACTAGTGTACATGTTGCTCGAAATCGAGCAATTGCAAAGAAGTACAGGAGTTATTTGTAAACAAATAACTTGTTTAAAAACTAATAACAGTCATAATTCCGATGATTTTAAAAGAGTCAACTAAAAGATTATTAACTAATGGAAATACTCACAATTTACATAACAGTCCTATTCCAGTTTAAAGGGTTAATTATTAACAACTATCAAACTGCCCATGGACGGGAAAAGGTAAGCTTACAATTTAAGTCAACGTAAAATGGCTGTCAGCGTTTATAAAGTACCGTACCTAGAGTTATTTAGCCAGTTTATAGACAATCAGGTGTAGGCTACCGTACTTTAAACTCTACAGGACAGAGTTAGGCAAAAACTGGCAAAATTCTGAAATGGTGTTATTTATCATAGACTTACTCATATGCCAAATCCTTAAAATAAAAATTCAATAACTAATAACTTATATCATTAAACACAAACCAATATCCAAAACTATACACATTTTTAATACAACATAATTTACACATTGACGGTTTACAATTAACATGCTCTTCTTCTCACTATTAATTTTTGCTTTGCAACGGGAAAAGTCTGTTTAGTAATCATTGAAATAGATTTACAAAAAATAATCTATCACAAAGTTTAAGATTAAATAAACCTACCACATAGTTGTTTTTTTTATCAGCTGTCTGAAATTGTGAAATAGGTATTTGATAGTTCTGCTTGTTTACATTCAAATGTCAAAGCAAATGTAAACATTGTGAATTTTCTCATGCTCATATGGAGACAGATTTATAATATTTAATTTTTTGACAACAGCTGGAGTTTAAAAACAATTTTTGTTTCCCATGTTAATCTTATGGAGAAATACGAAACTTTAAAGGGCCCCAGGGCCTCACTCTCTAATTATTTCCCTAAAAAGAAAGTTTCCTGCACAACTTCACGTTATGCTCTTTCCAATGACACCAAAAACTTGTCAATTGGTTCAGTAGTTTCGGAGGAGTAATTGTCACAAAAATCCTGCTTGCGTATTAAATAAGTATAGATTACTGGGATAATTTGATGGTTTGCTGTAAGTCCTGCAAGTTTGAGTCGCTAAACATTTACGAATGCGCACTCTGTTGGTGTCTCAATTTATAAGTACGTTCAATTTTATTCTTAAACTGACTATAGTTTTAACATGGGTATGGAATGTGTTTATAAGGATTAATCTATGCTCTCACATTTAAGTCTGCACCGTACTATGAAACACCAACACGGAATGTGTCAGATCATATTGCTTGCTAGGCGAAGACAGTGAAGCCGCAGTGAAGCTGACAGCTGACGCATGTTTGGTTATCCTTGGCATCGTCACTGTCACTAACTATAATATGTGGACCTTGAACATGATAACATCATGAAAGCCATCTAACACCATAGATTCAACATACTCCTTATGCATTTATCATCCTTATAAATTAAATCACGTTATACTGTGGTGTAATCTTTTACTTTTGATTCCTCATGAAGTTTGTGAACAGTTGATGACACTTCAATGCGTCCCAAATGAAGTTGTAATATTTTTTAATGCTTTATAAAGTTATATCTATATATTTAATAGGCCAACATGAATTGGGTAGTAATTGTTTTGAAGCTGCCACGCATCCGATGGCCATGCTTAAGGTGTCATTGGATAGGTTGTGTGCCATCATAGGTTTGTTTCAACGATTTGCCATCACGAAATTTTTTTTTGAAATTTCATCAGGGCTCTGACCCAGTGACCTTCAAAGTTCTCATGTTATTCTCAGGGAGAAAATGTTAGTTTACATTTTAATATACGAAGTTTGAAATACACACTAATAATTGAACAAGTGTTATACTAAAATTGAAATTAATGGATGCATGACTATCCTGTAAGGATTTATTATACGTCCTATTAGCATTTGAGTAGGGAAATAAAAATAAAAATTTAAACCTTTTGGAAATAATTAATTAAAGTCTCCTGGATATGCATGCGTATACGGATTTGGGTGTTACTAATTCGGGTGTATTAATTTAGTCAAAGCTCGACAAATATTTAATGTGCCGTATAAAAATAAAAAATAAATAGGTATAAACACACCAAAAACCAAACTAAACTTGATGATATCAATGATCCACATGAGTGTGATGTAGGTGTGATTAATGTGTCTTTCATTAATTAGTTTAGATTCGAAGTTTTATTCAGTAAATGACAGTAAGTCAGGGCAATGAAAACCACTATTCGATTAAAAATGTCTCAACTTGTTGATTTATCTATTAATTATATTCAGCAATGGTTGTGCGTCTGACATCCAATGAAGCCACTGGTGGAGGTGATGCAAGAAGCAACGGAAGTGTTACAAAACCGAAGTGAAAGTTGTTGAAGTGATAGCTACGTGCTAAATTAATGAACCTGACTGTAAACAAATTAATGATAAAAATATGCCACACGTGGGAAACCTGTGTTGTACAAATCTGATGTTTTCACGGTTATGATGTGAACGTTTGTGAAACATTGCAAGAGTTCGAGCTTTATTTTAAACACTTCTGATCCCAAGGCTCCAGTTGTTAAACTTTGATGTGTGATTGTTGCTAAAACATTACTTTTTTACTTATTTATGTTAGAACGTTTTAAAATTTGTGTGTTCAGCGTTCAAGGTACTGTATATCGATCAGAGAGCCTTGTTGATTCCTTTGACTGCAATACAATACACTTTTGAAATCGGGTTGTTGGAACAGTGCTCTTTTACTCCGAAGACGGTTTTATAACCATTTCAACACATATTCAAATTTCTTATGATTAATCTTAGACTTTTGAGTTATATTTGTTGTTGAAACAATTTTCATCCACGTTGAAGACAGTTCCATATTTACTTTTAAAACACTCGAATTTTATATTCGAAAAATGTGCGTTCAAATTCAAACCGTCACAACTCTGCACAAATATAAATGGACTGTGGTATCGCGTTGATTTGGACGTTGGTGAAGTGATGTGACCATGTCGTCAGTGGACTTTGACGACGTCTTGGTCCAGATTGGAGAGAGAGGCAGGTATCAACATGTGATGTATTATCTGCTATGTATCCCAGCGACTCTGCCTGCTGCCTTCCTAGCCTTCAGTCAGGTGTTCGTGTCTGCAACGCCGGACCACTGGTGCCGAATCCCGTCCCTAGAACACTTCATCTTCGGTAAGTACCTGAACAACTTCAATTGCAGTAAATCTGAGTGGTTGTAACGCTAAAAGTAATTAAAAAATTGCCGGTTCGATCAGGGCCCCCTTGAGCTTAAAAGGTGTTTTTTAACATGTGTTTTTCTACAATTAAAAAATCTCTTTTATGTGTCTCTGAATAACCTAAAAACGCGAGTTTACAGGCCTAATTTTCAATAGTTTACCCCCCCCCCTAATTAGTTAGGCCTATGGGTTTGATTAAAGGAAAGTCGAGCATTTTTGACAGTTTGAAACTGGGCCCAGCTGACCTATATTGGGCTTTGCATGTCCCCTGACTGCTGTACTTATAACTCTATCTCGCTCCTTTCGATCTACACTAATCCTTATCTTATATTCAGGTTATACGAATCCTTATGTTCCCGTCTCAATGTGGTCATAGTGCTCATCTAACAATCAAAAGGTCGCCGGATCGATTCTGATAAAAGTATGAAGCTTTTTGACGGTTCGAAACTGAACCCAGCTGTCCCTGATCCTTGGACTTTATGATCCTGGCTAATGAAACAGCTGATCAGCCAGTAACAAAGTTACACGAAACATCTCACTCCATTCTTCACTCATATTTGGGTTAAATTATGCACCTAGGTGGCGTCCCCATATCAATTTTTGATGACAATAATATTCATAATAATAATGACGAGAGGTCGTCCAGTGGTCGAAACTCGACCAAAAATATGTAATGTACAGACTTCTCTATTTTCTCCCCAGACTGTAAATAAAACATGTGATTTGAGTTTCTTCCATTTGTTTTGATTTTCTGTTTATATGTCGTTGTTATTTCGTAACCAGCATGGCAACCCATAAATTCCATGTTAATTTTTTCAAATTTTTAAACTAATTTTTTGTGCTTATCTTTGAGCCCATTTTAATTTATAAAGGGATTCTGCACACCTACAGGAAAATAGCTTTCTAACGGTATGCGTAGATTTTCCCTATGATGCACACGAGCTGAGAAAAAAGGTTTTAAAGAAACATGCTTGCCTATTAATATATAGATAGGTATTGCAGCATGTAAAGTACTTACTTTCTTAAAATACCCCCGCCGCAGCAAACCTGCAGACTAAGCGAATTTCCATTTGCCTGATTTGATTTTCAATTAAATCTATTCAAATAACATTAGGTTTAACGAGTACCTAGGTTTGCTGCCTACAGGGTAATAAAGTGTGTTTTTCAGTAAAATATTAATAGCTTAGTATAAAATAAATAGATTGGCAAGGTTTGATCCAAATATATGCATAAACAAGCAAACTACAAAAGTTTACTTATTCTCCATAAGAATAACATGGGAATTTTTAATTTATAATTTTCTCCGTAACCAATAACCATACAAAAACACTTCAATATACTGAATTATTTGCTTTTTTAAGCTCTTCAAAATGGTCTAAAAGAAACTTGGGAAATTTTATGTTTTGAGGGTCAAAAATGAGAAAAACCAATTTTTACCCCATAAATCCCCCCATGTGTTTTTGGCTTCTAGGAACATCAAAATGAAAAAGTAAATCGGTCCCGGGACTAAGTCTTACCATGAGACCTACGGTAATAGCTTATTCCCTATAGGGAAATTCGCTAAAAAGTAAAACGATATTCTAGCATTTTTTATAATTAGAAGTTTATTTTTAACCAAGCTTTAGCACTGACAGTTACAGTAGTTTAATCATATCGGTTTTCATAAATATCTGATTCTTAGACAACTAACTGTTTGGTTATGCGTACGTAGCTTGTTTACTCTGACACGGGCCAATCAGCTGTATACACGGACAATCAGCTGTTGGATGTAAAGAACAGCTGATGTTTGATTTTTATTGTTCTTTTATCTTGTACATTTTCCCGTATGATGCTTTCACCACCTCTTATCAAAAATCCAACTCTCCCTTTCAAATAACAACTTTTTACATAATCATACCAATAAAATAGTCTTTTAGCTAACGAAACTAGTTTACAACAGTTTGTTATGAACTTAGAAAAATATAATATTTCATGGTTTAGAACAAATATGCGTTAGGTAGAAGGCCTACTTCAAACTGGGGCCAGGTTAGTCCCAATATTGTGTAATTTTTTAATATGAACAGAATTTGATTACCGGTATCTAAAAAATATCCAATACTCCAAGTAAAGTGTTGGATTTTAAGACACCCGTCCATTTTGTATGTATATAAGTCTTAAACAGTTAATTCTTAGTCTAACTTGTGGCATTAAATCGTGCTGCTATGAGTTCATAATTGAAATCCAATTTTTAAAGTCATTATGTCCACTAAATGAACCATTTTATGGCTTCGCAGATTAAGAAATCAAAATAATAAACAAACCTTTTCAAAATGAATGTAAATTAAAATTAGCTCGTTTTTAAACTTACTGACATTGTAAAAATACTTTGTTTTATTACTTAGTTTCATCTATGTTTAATTTTGTCATATGTAGGAAAATGAAAGCTTGTATGATTGATAAGGTTGTTTTTTCTGTTGCTAGAGCGATTTATGTACAGGGTATTTCACAAAGAGGTTTACACATGATATTCTATAATTTGGTCGTCTGGATTATTTGCTCCTTAAGCTTAAGTTACGTTTGTATGCCTCAAGCAATATTTTTCCAATGAAACTTCGATTTAACATCAAGTCCCAAAAATGGACCGCAGCAATCAAATCAGGTAATGACTCAATTTGTTGTTTAGGAATTAAAATAAGTTGGTATGGATTTCAATATGCCACCATTTCGATTCTACACATGTAAAGCTGACATTTTCACAAAATATGTTTATACATTTTGTAAAGTTTCTGAGATTTTTGTACATAAACGGTCAAGTAATATAAAACCAAACCCCTTGTGGGACACCCTGTATGCACACATTTTCTTTGGTACACAAAGTCTCAATTTATCTCCAGGGCTATCGCATTGCAGTGTTGCGGCGGGTTTTGGTTTAGTTCATAGAGCGATAGTTATGTTTTACTGCCTGACAAACCATCTGTTAAGTTGCCTGCTGTTTACAATAACAAGAGCGATGAGAATATCTTCGGATTTAGCGTAAGTCATCTCTATTCTGGGCCAGATCTCTACCCGTGCGTGTGTTTGGCCAAGTCTCGTCTTTGAAACTGGTAACTTTGGAATTTCAACCGTACACAGAGTAATGTAATAAATTAAATAGGCTACACAAATTTAAAACTATACCGTTTTGTACAATGAAACAGGTAAAAATTAGTTTTCTGACAGTCACTTGTAATGGCTGTTTATTTTTGTGGCTTGAACCATACTTTCTTTTTGATAATTTATCCACCGGTTTGTGACCTATTTTAGGCTTTTAATAAAAGGCTGGCTCAACCATTGTTCTTTTGGTCAGGAAGAATGCTACACAAGTCCTGATAAAGCTAGGTAAACATTAGCATTATAAGCTGTTTTCTCATCAATTATACGACTTGGGAATTCAAAGGAGTCTAATAAATCGCATTTCATTTTTATTTTACGTACTCTGTAAGTACAACAACAGGTAGGCCTTACATGCTGATTAAGAAGTTACCTACTCATTAACTATAAACAGAAGTTATCACCTACTCAGTACACTGCCCAATACTGCCCCATATTGACGAGTAGACAGTTAGTTATTAGTTATTTACTCGGTATTCTGTGATGACGCTGTTTCGATTTTTAGTTTTGTTCTTCAATTTAACACGGAGAACTAACATTAATGATCCAGGCAAGAAGGTTGACGTGGTCTTGGCTCTTGAGCAACTACGATAAGGATTCTGGTAAAAAGTTATGAGTCAGCTTATCGATAGTGTAATGCAGTACGTGTACGCTTTGTATGTGTCAGCATTTCTGACATTTGTATGTTATGTAAAGATGGCATCGAGTCTGTCACAGTAACGTTTATAATAATATTTTTTCCTATATAGATTATCAAGCACAAATGCTACCAAAGATGACCTATCATTTAGGGTTGATGGATTTCAACCAATATTGAACCTTTGGATCAATTTACGAAAAGTCAGAAAAAAGATTTAATTCATTAACTAAAACTAATATCACTGGTGGTTTTGCTCCTCTTTCTGTTTTTTAAGGCATTTGTTTATTTCCGATGTAAAAAAAATATTTCCTCCTCATTAGTCAAATTATTTGTCGCGTTATCCAATTCAAGGATTTCGCTTCATCTACGAATATCTAAGAAATATTGAAATAATTAATTAGTGGTTCTTATTAAATGCATTTGTCTGCATTCAAGAAACAAGTCCGCCATAGGGGATCAGGCAGTTTCGCTAGACCCTTTATACAACTATACAGTACTTACTAAAGTGAATCACGGGTATGTCTGAAATTCACGATATCGAACCAGCGCCCTAATGCCACTGTTGGTTAAACAAATGTGAGAGTGGCTGTTGTTTATAGGTAACAACGAGAGGTTTGTGTACATAATATATTATGTTGTTCAGTTGCTCCAGAATATAGCAGTCACTTGAGAAGTGCTCAGTTTGTGATGACGTAAACACTTTTATCTTCCACTCGATCATTGCTTGATTTTGGTTTGTGATTCGTGGTTCCGTAAGTGGACTTTTCATTGGATGGCCATGAAATATATTTGGTAAATGCTTTCTGAATTAATATATTATTAGGTATTTTAGTTTCAAATTCTCTAAAATCAACCTTGAAATGGTAAAAGCTAAAAATGTGAAATTTATTATACATATAAATGTTACCATACTAAAATATGGTCTTTAACATACTTATTAATAATGCAATATTTTCATGTTTGCCACTTAGACAGATGTTATGTTATTACTAGAGGACCCACGCTGCTCCGCAGCGTTAAAATAAATGTAATATCCGAGAAATAATCAAATTAATGATTTTTGATTGAGTAATAGAGTATCTTGAGCTTAACTGATTCAAACGATCAATATCTCAAATTAAAGCCTATAATTTATAGATTATGTTGAGTCTAAAACATATAAAAAAAACCTGAACAATACTGGAGCT